GGCTGCAGTAGTGGCCACGTGATTTTGAAATTCTGAAATTTTAACAATTAAGTCTGGAGGGATTTCCGCAAAAACCTGTTGGGTTCTGAGAGTTGTTCCTGAAGTCTCTTGGATCACAGCCGTTAAGCAGCTTGATCAGGAGCCAGAAAGGCTGTTTGTGGTCAGCAACTCAGGGTCTCGTTGGGACGGGGAGAAAAGGGCTGGCTCCACCCCCATCCCATGAGTCCCCGCATGTCTCATCACTTCAGGCCCAAACATGACTGTCCAATGGCCTCTGGAAGATGGCGGCCACCGACCCCCCAAGGGGGAGCAGGTGAAGTGACACCACCCTTTCCCCCCCTGGGGTGGCCTGGCGACAGTAACCTACTGTGGGGTCCACAGGCATTTCTGCCAAAAGCCGCTGGGTTTCGAGATTTGTTTCTGAGTCTCTGGGATCATGGCCATTAAGCAGCTTGATCAGGAGCTAGAGAGGCCGTTCGTGGGCGATAACTTGAGGTCTGGTTGGGGTGGGGGTGGGGGAGGAAAGGGCTGGCTCCACCCCCATCCCGTAAGGCCCCAGGTGGGCCCAAACCTGACTGTTCAGTGGCCTCTGGAGGATGGTGGCCACCGGGCCGCCAGGGGGAACAGGCCAAGGCACGAAACCTATTCCCACCTGGGTTGACCCAGTGCCAGTAATCTACTACAGGGACAGGACTCATTTCTGTTAAAAGCTGTGGATTTCGAGATTTGTTTCTGAGTCTCTGGGATCATGGCCGTTAAGCAGTTTGATCAAGAACCAGAGAGGCCATGCCTCCAATTATATAGCTGAGCCAGACGTGGTTTGTGGGTGTGTCTCCCACATACCTAACTTTTGGCCGTTTACTTTCTTGGTAAGCTTTGCCCCAAGTTTTTGGGGTCTGGCCAAAGGCAGCAATTTTGGGGTATCTGGAAGTCTGAAGGTGCCATCAGGCTGCTGATGTACTCACCTCACAGGTACAGATTTACCTGCTGGTGGTATCATACCCCCAGGTGCTATCATTTTAATTTTTTTAACAATAAAAATGGCTCCCCTGAACAAGTTTATTAACTTCCAGAAGAGAAGAATGAAACTTCCTTTTATTGAAATCATACTGCATGTCAGTCCATCACTTTCACCCTTGATCTATGATAAGAGTGCCGCATTGTTTTGGCTTGTTAAATGGCAGGTTGCCGGGACCAAAGGCACCAGCATCTTTAATAAAAACTGTCATGAATTATGGAAGTATTTTTGTGGCAATTGCAATCCCTAGGGCTAGAAAATTTTGGTTCTTAATCTAGGGGCTCTCACCATCTAGTGGAAGAGACTAAACAGATACTCTTATAAGGAATACTGCTAAGAGTAATTCCTGAGCCCAAAGCCGGGAGTAACCCCTGAGCATCACCGGGTGTGACCCAAAAAGAAAAATAAAGGGGGTTGGGGGTGGGAATCACATTCTGATTAACCCATGTGAGAAAAATTATGGTGGTAAGTGAAGAATGGACAGTTTCAATTTGTATAAGTAATTCAGGTGAAGAAGAGGGGAACACTTCCGTTAAGAGAGGATACCCTTTGTAATAGTTAAAAATTGAAAGCGTTTAGACATTGTAATAATAAAAATAATTCTGTATAACACAGGGGCTGAGAAGCCATGGGAAACAAACTTTAAATGTAACTGTCCAAAGTTTACCTGAGTGACAGTCATTGATAAATGCTTTTCTCTAAGCTTGGATTTTATATGCAGGTGTAGAAAGATTAACTTTCAGGCATTTTCTCCATTTCAATCAGGAATCTATTCAGTATAAAGCAGGACTATTATTATCATTTTGGTGGGAGAGGAGGGAAGGTGGAACTTGAGAATATTTTCTGTCCATACCAGGCATAGTGCCTTAAGCACGGCCAACCGGGGTTTGATTCCTCCACCCCTCTCAGAGAACCTGGCAAACTACTGAGAGTATCCCACCCGCATGGCAGTGCTTGGCAAGCTGCTGGGGCATATTTGATATGCCAAACAGTAACAACAAGTCTAACAATGGAGATGTTACTGGTGCCCGCTCGAGCAACTTGATGAACAATGGGGAGGACAGTGCTACAGTGCTACCAGGCATTGTATAGGGATTCTCATATATTTGCGATACTGCCAGACTCTCAAAGCATGGGATATTAGATAATCTTACTATTAGACGAGTCATTCATTTGCTTATCTATTTATGCATTTATGTAGAAAAGGCAAATTTGGTCTCCACGTTTTCCAGTCGTACAGATTGATAGTTGATAGATTTAGGTAGTTACTGAGATGCATTCTTATGCCAAAGTGCATCACTTCAGCTAGACAGTTTGAAAACCCGTCACTCACTTGCCTAGCCTCCTTCTCCAGCTGTTCTGGAGAGGAAGCCATTGAAATGACCTCCCCAGCGAACGTGAATGGAGGGTGAAAAAAAGCTAAGCTGGGCGGAGCAGGGCGCGGAAGGCGGGGATACAGTGTAGCAGAGAAGAGCCGGAGCTGCCTGCGACCCGCAGCCGCGACCCGCAGCGAACCCCAACTCCCTTGGGCTTGGCCTCCTCGCCAAGAACATCTCCAGGGGACAGAAGCAGTTTGTGCTTTTTGCAATTCCAGGGTTGAAGCAATTTATGTCCCCAAACTAAATCGCGACAACCACATGGTTTTTTTTTTTTTTTTTTTTTTTTTTTTTGCCTCTCTGCTGCTCCTTTTCTCCAACTCTTGGATTTCTTGGATTCTCCAGAGCTGCTGGGAAAGTTCTGGGAATCGCTGCCCTTCCTCGGTCCCTCCCACTGTTTCACAACCTCGACTCCAGGGCAGGCCCTCCTTCTGCCTCACTCTCCCCTCCTTCCACCTGACAGGGACCATAAATAACCCCGGCTCCCCATGTTCCCAGCAGGGAACAAAGTTGAAAGTTTGCCTGCAGCTCGCTGCCACTCCCCTCCTGGGCCACCGGGGCCACTTCTTTGTTTTCTTCGGCCTGCTCCTCGTTTCTTCTCCTCCTTCTCCTGTTTTCTCCCTCCACCTGGATTGGCCGCTTCTGCATCCACATGGGAGAAGAGTCCTGTCCACGGCCTGGAAACGCGGCACCTCGGGGCTCCCCAGATTGAAGGCGGTCCTGGTTACCCGGCTCCCAGCACTGGTATCAAGTTACTGAAAGTCTACACCGGCCAGTCCTCATATTTACATACAAATAACTCCAAGGGCTCGCTTTATGTCACCATTCTGTCCTGCTAGAGGCTTGCCAGAAGAGTTTTTAATCCAATCAGAGGGAGCTTTAAAAGGATGTCTGCGGAGTGATCAAAAGGATTCTAATCTCAATTAAATGTTGCCAGGTTTTGCTGCTCTTTCTTTTTTATTTTTTTCTTTCCTTTTTTCCCCCATTTGGTCTGAAATATCGAAAAGCTTTGTACTCTTGAGTGGGAAAAGATGTGTGATTCCTCAGTGGCCTTGGAGAAGCCGAAATGCTGAGAGGAACTCAGCTTTGGTGGTGAAGACGGTGGACACAACCCAGGCATTGATTTGTTGGGTCTGGTTTGAAGGGAGAGTCTAAATCACGACTTTAAGGAATTCCTGGAAACATCAGGAAAACGTTTGATCAGCCCAGCCTGGTGGAAATGGCTTTACTACAGAGTAAGATCTTTCTTTCAGTTGTACTTGGTGTGTACTGGGTTTTTTCTTTTTTTTTTGTTTTGGTTTTTGTTTCATAGGCAGCAAGTGTGCAAATACTCTAGCTGCAAGTAGTTACTTAAAATCTCTTGGTGCTTGGTAGCAATAAAAAGGTTGATTTGTTTATTATTACTTTTTTTTTTTTACATTTGCAAAAACAGTAGTTGATCGTGTATTTTTAGACCTCATTTGTCGTTTAAAAACGGAGCACTTGTGGTTTTCCTGTGTCCAAATGAATGGAAATTATAACTGGCACTGAATGAAGGAATTGGAAAAAAATATCTGGAACAGATGAATCACTTGCCTTTGTGAAAACATAACATAGAGGCTCATGGAAATCTCTCCTACATAGCCAAGCTCGTGTCCAGAAAAGAGAATAAAAGAGGTAGAAAGGAGTTTGTATGTGTGTGTGCAGAAGGAACTTTCCCCAGCCCCTGCTACAGACGGAGAAGGATGGGAAACATCCCACAGGGCAGACATCTGAAAAACCTGCCCTGTCACTCTTGGAATGTGGTTTTTCCATGTGAGGTCATGTAATGCATATGCAGCTAATAAAAATATTTCATGATTAACTCTTTGTAGTGAGAGTTGGAGGAAAGGTGCTGCTTTTAGAGTCTGAACCCTCATTTGATCACTGTGGAAGGGAATGTTGCTTCTCGAATAGGGCTTCAGTATTGGCACAGCTGGGCCGGGTTGTTAATTTGATAGGCTGAGAAACAGCTTGAAATTGATGTGTTCCAAGGTGACTCAAGTGAGCAGTTAGAGAGTTCAAGTAAATAACTTTGTAGTGTGGTGCATAAGGGCTAAAGAGAAGTCTCCTGTATGTAAGAAGACTTTCGAGAAAAGGCTCATCCTCTCCACGTTTTATTTTCAAATTTCGAAAACAGTAACAAAGAAGCCATTCTTAGTTTGCAGTGTAAAAGACACCTTTCTTAGGAGCTGGGGGTGGGGGGCAGGGGCGCTTGTAGAGGGGGTGGGTGGGATGGAGGACAGTGTGGAGCTGCAGTTTCAGGAGGCTGGGAAAACTTAAATTGACACTTAACACCAGAAGCTTTTCTTCCTATTTAACAATTTAATGCCAGTGTGTGGACCACCAGTGGCTCACCCTTGGATGTGACATTGCCGGACCAGTGGCGCCACATGAAATTCAGTCTTGAAATTATGACTAACCTTTACTTAAGCTCCGTCCTTCTGAATGGCACTGACATAGACTATCCAGGAGGTAGGGGCAGAGGAATATGAAAAAGCAGGTAATTTGCTGATGACAAGAAGAAGAGAAAACATACATTTTCAAAAGGGAAGCTTCTGATTTGGGGCTGCTTTGTGCATTTGCAGGTGAAGATGCGATGACAGGAGACACGGACAAGTACCTTGGGCCACAGGACCTTAAGGAACTGGGCGATGATTCACTTCCTGCAGAGGGTTACATGGGCTTTAGTATGGGAGCCCGTTCTGCCAGGTATTTCACTGTTGCTGGTTTTTTAATAGTTAATTAAAAACCACCATAATTTGTCATAAAACCAAAAATCACTTCATTTTTTTTAAAGTTTACATGATTGAAGAATGTGCCCTTTGGGGGAGGATGTGGATTTGGTGTTCTCAAATGCAGTGTACATGCTCTGCTGTTTTCTTGTGCAGTTTTCAGTCCTGGATTTTGTGTGACGAAACTTGTTGATCATTTGTTCTTTTTTCACCATACCTTGCCGTCATGCTTCAAGCATATCACAGCAAAAGAGCTCATTGACAAAACTGGGAGAACCAATCTGTGTTACATATTTCAAAATTAAATTTTGTTCTGTGTTGAAAAGAATCATTTACCACTAAGAAATGTCTGTCATTTTTGGTTCATTTGGGAATTTTACATTTCACAAATTTGAGAATTTTACATTCCCTAGTCTCTACTGCATGATTCAGATGTAAAAGAACATTCTTGGGGGAAAAATGCAAATTCTTATTAAAATTGTCTTTCTATTTCAGTATCTCTTCTAAAATTCCACCATTAATTTATTTACAAATGACATGTTAGGGGTGTTAACAGTGACTTCCCAAAAGTCACAGACCAAGAATGGTGGCAAATTTGATCCTCAAAACAGAGGCATAAAGCTTTTGTATTTGGAAAATGTTGGTTCCACTTAATCCTACTCTAGTTAAAAGGAACAGAATCTTTTGCAGAATTTGGGGACTTCTTTTCTTCAGTGGTTGGATTAGCAGCATGTTTGCTGACAGCCAAGTTATTTTAAAGCTAATAATTAAACCTTCTAAGCCAGGGCCCTCAGGACATTTTCCTATAGTTTAAGGATCTGTTGTAAAAAGTTTCATTGTCTAATAGTTAATGTCACTTCCCACAAAGTAAACCTGGGAGTTTATTCTTGGTGTCTAGGTTGGGCAAAGAATGGGTTGTAAAATTTTTTTCAAGTTAGTCTTTTCTTAAAATAGTTCCTTGGGACTTCATTTTACTTTATAGGACTTTTGATTTATAAATATATTTCTAAAAGAGCTTAAACTCTTTCTGTGCTATAGATGCCATTGTAAAAGGGGGAACATAGTTAAATATCCATAAAGTTTCAGGTAGCAATAAGTTACAAATAAAAAAATGTAAAATCTTAAAGGATCTGCAAGAAAGATTTTATTTTGAGTTTCTGTAGCTTTTGCAATCTAATAATCAGCATCTTCTCTCCCTTTGAGCATATATCACGTGTTCTATAAATCAGTCAAATCACATAGAGAAAATTGTAGCAGCTGACATGAAGTGAAATATGAAACCAGAATATTTTCTCATTTTTTAATCAAGACACAGTGTGAAGAATTTCACACTTCTAATTTTGATTGCATCATTATTATTTGTGGCTATTATATGTGACTCATTTTTTACATTGGCAATTTATGTTATGCTCAGAGGCACGATTTTAAAGAACCATAAAGCTGATAATCATTTTAAAATAATTGTGATAAGATTACCAAGTATCATATTCTGAGTGTAACATTTAAGAAAGACTACATTAGATGTGTAACTCATTCAAACATTTTTTTTTCTTTTTTCCCCTGTCTGATTTTTTTGCTTTCTACTTTTGTTTTGTTCCAAAAAATATTTTAAAATAGTCCCAAGATCAGGTAAGAAGACATGGCATTGTTTTGCTGCCCTTCCCTGGTGCATTTTCTCATTTTTATTTTCTTCAGCATTGTGCTGTGATGTGCTGTGATGTGCTTCAATGTGCTTTTCACTTTTTCTTTTCGCTTAGCATTGGAATCTGTTTTGTGATTCTCGGAAAAATTAGCAAGTAGCAAAATGTATGAGAAGTGGTCAGTGATGCAAAATTGAGTGAATACTTGAGACATTTCTTTCCCTTAACATAGTTTGTATAGTGCATGAAATAACTGAAGACAATGCCCTGGTTTTAAAGAAAAGGTTTTAATTTAAAAGTTTTCCAAGGGCTGGAGCGATAGCATAGCAGGTAGGGTGTTTGCCTTGCATGTGGACGAGCCGGGTTCAAATCCCAGTATCCCATAAGGTCCCCTAAGCACCGCCAGGGGTAAATTCTGAGAGCCAAGCCAGGAGTGACCCCTGCGCATCACCGGGTGTGACCCAAAAAGCAAAAAAAAAAAATTTTTTTTTTCATTTGCTGGTTGCTATTTTAAGATGTTCTAGGTATGTTTATATAATTGTAGAATTTTTTTAGGCGTGTTTTTTTTCTAACATTGCCTGTGTTTAACACTTAGTCCATACTGAAGGCTACAAATAATGTAGTTGACATTAAAATAATTGTTAAAACAATTTGTTAGTTAAAAGCAAGTTAATTCCATACCACCATGCAAATAATCTCTCATTTTAATAGCTGAAAAAACTTCAATGTATTTAGACTGTTGAATCTTACTCAGTCAATTACATCATTAAGTTTGATCTCCTTAATGGACTTCATCTGCCTAATATAAATTTTGTCTGGAGCAATGAAGAGTGAGAACTTGAGACACTTTGTAAACCAAAGACCGTTTCAGGGTTTGGTTGGTAACTCATAATTCTCTGTTCTGTAGTGGTACTTGGAAGAAGGAGGATGTTGGAAAAAATATCAACAAATCAAAATTAAAAGATGAAATTTAAAAGGATAAATCAAAATGAATATACAATTCTTTGGAGAAAACTTCTGAATGTCTGTACTATAAAAGTACTCTTGGGCTGGAGCGATAGTACAATGGGTAGGGCCTTGCACGCAGCCAACCCAGGTTCAATTCCCGTATGGTCCTCCAAGAAGGGCCAGGAGTAATTTCTGGTGCAGAGCCAGGCATAACCCCTGAGCATCCCTGGGGTGTGACCCAAAAAGCACATAGCATCAGTTTTAACACGTGCTTTGGGGGCCTTCATTTGAAGACCTGAATGTCCGATGCACAGTAGAATTTCTCACTCTCTAAACACATCACTGGAACAAAGTGAATGTTGTGATGAGAACTTAGTTTACTAATAGGGAGCACATAAAGCCAATGAAAATAAAGTTAGCTAAATTTAAATAAAACAGGTCCGTTTCTTCAGTTATACTAGGTGCTCAGGGTTCAGACATGGCCACCATTTTGAAGTGAAGATTTAGAACCGTTGTCAAAGGATGTTCTATTGGATGCCACTGAGTTAGTGAGTAGAAAGAGGATCTCTGATTTTTGAAAGTTCATATTGTATCTGGAGGATGTTAAAGACTAGAAACGGTGATACCAAGGGGGGCGGGAATCTTGCAAATGAAACAAAATAAAACAGAAAAGCAGAGTTCGACTGGGCAGAAAGCTCAGGAGCAGCTTTCTAGATGCTCTTCTACATGGGGAGATGCTTAATATTTTTTAAGGGGGATAGGAGCACCTATACCTAGCTTCTAATACTGTGCTTTGCTTAGTCACTTAAGTCTTCCCTAAATTAACAAATTAACAACTCCATAAGGATTGGGAGGTTGGGTGGGCATTAAAGATCCCTTGGAGGTTAGGTAAAGTTAAGGCTCTAACTCTAGAAAAAAATGTGTTGCTCATCCATGAAGACACAGAATAATTTATGTAATCCAGAGCCCTCAGATCATGTATAAAAAACTGACTTTTGGGTAACCTATAATGATGTAAAAGGGAGGAGGCATTGTTTTGTGTAAAACAAGACATTTCCTCTTATTTATCTCTTTCACTTTTTCCTGTCAATTAAACCCAGGTGATTCTGCTGTCAAAGATAGACACCAGCACACTAAGGTTATTACTGACCCATGCAGCGATCTGTGCTCCCTTTGCATGGTCTAATATTCCACATCAAGAAGGACATCACCAGGGGCTGGAGTGGTAGTATAGTGGGTCAGGCTTTTGCCTTGCACACAGCCAACCTGGGTTCGATTCCCAGCATCCCATATGGTCCCCCAAGCACTGCCAGGAGTAATTCCTAAGTGCAGAGCCAGGAGTAACCCCTGAGCATTGCCAGGTGTAACCCAAAAAGCAACAACAACAACAAAAAGGACATCACCAATGCAATGCCAGTTATGGGGTACCCCATTACTGAGGAACCAGTTCTAGACTGCATCTAAGTGGTTTCAGATTCTTCACCTCCATTCCAAGGAGCCTCAGACCTCTCATTCCAAACAAGAGGCAGAGAAAATATACCTCATGACAAGTTGCCCCGATTTTGTGAGGAAGCCAGGGGGAGAGGGCTCAGAGCATCTCCTCATGGCCTTGATCTTCTGAGTTGCTGGAGAATCACAGATCTCCACTGAGACTCAGATGATCTGCAGTTCCTGCCTGCTGCATAGCCTGTGTGGGTGTACATATGATGACCAGAATGCTGTGACTGAGCCGGGCTTCTCCAGTCCTTTACTCAATTTTCAGTTTGGAGTCATCATGGTGCAAGACACTTCAGGACATCAGGGAACTTGCACTCTAGGAAAATCAGAGACTGTTTAGAGGATTTGAGAGAGGCAAAACTGGACCAACAGAAGGAGTGAGAAAAGAGCAGAGCAAAGGAGAGAGAGTAACCATCCATGTAATTTGAATTTTGAATTCCACAATGAAAATAAAGGAGAGAGTCCAAGGTTGTATCTATAACAATACTTGTTTTACATGAGTAGCAACTATAACAGGTCAAACACATACCCAGTTCCCAAATATTTATAACCTATTTACATAGAGTCTCATTCACTAGTTCAGTTGCCTAGCAGTCATGGACCAGAAAGAAAGCGAACTCTATCATACATTCTTTTTTTTTTTTTTTTGCTTTTTGGGTCACACCTGGCAATACAGAGGGGTTATTCCTGGCTCTACACTCAGGAATGACTCCTGGAGGTGCTCAGGGGACCATATGGGATGCTGGGAATTGAGCCCGGCTTAGCTGCATGCAAAGCAAACACCCCACCCGCTGTGCTATCTCTCCAGCCTCACTATCACACATTCTTAACACAGAAAACCTCTCAGAATATCTAGTTGCATCCATTTCTTCTCAAATGTCATATTTGTTCAATTCTCATAGCAAAGCATCCAGTCTTCGTGCATTTCATTTTCTTGCAGATTTGACACTAATTGGCCCTCTATTAAACAACACATGATCATGGGATTGTTACGAGTCCCTCGGGTACAAGGGATATGAGTTTTGATGATGTCTTATATAGAGCAACTTTTGTTGATATTTTATTCATCTTACTTGTTCACATAGTTGCATGCATTAATTTTTTTTATTCATCTCATTATCATCTACCACTCTTGAATTGTTAACTGTAAATACAACAGCCTCCGCTCCTTCAGTTCGGATAGGTCTTACACCTTGAACAGAAGCTCCTATGCACGGGACAGTATGATGATTGAAGAACTTCTCATACCATCCAAAGAGCAGGTACGTCTTTCAAAAACCTTTGATTGTTCAGTTTTACTTATGTGATTAAGTCAAACACTGCTCCAAGACAAAAACTATTTATGCATGTTTATTTTGCATTTATAAATCTTGTAGTATCAGTTGTCCCATAGTTATAGCCCTTCTGTAGGTGAATCTCTAAAGTACCACAGAAAGAAACTCAGAAAGTCCTCTAGCAAACACAGGCATAAGTAATGTCTGTGTTAAGTATTTTTCAGTTGCTCTTTAAAAAGAGTTAATAATTGCTAGCTAAAGTTGCTAACATCCATATGAATGTTTGATTTTGCTAAGCAAACTATGTATTCATGTTGGAACTTGTTAAAGTTATTTTTAGAAAGTAGTTAAAGATTAGTTTGGTCATTTTTTGATCCCTTAGCTTCAAAGCTGCCTGTTGTAGACCTTCTCAGGGTGTGATTTTATTTTATTTTATTTTATTTTTTTTGTGTTCTGCCAGAATCTCTGCTTGGTTCATTTTGTACTTGTGTAGCTCCTTAAAAGAATGTAGTTTTGAGAGGATGAGAGATGGTACAGTGGATAGAGCATTTGCCTTGCACACAACTGACCCAGATTTGATCCCTAGGCCATAGATGTGGTCCCCCCAACACCACCAAGAGTAATTCCTGAGTGCAGAGCCAGGAGTAACCCCTGAGCATGAAGAGGTGTGGCCTGAAAAATAAAAAGAAATTGTGGTGTTGAATAGTTATGTTTCATACAAAAAGTGTCAGCAATGTGGTATTTTGCATTTGAGCTCAGAATGATTAATTATTCTACAGACACACAGTACTTTGTTTTAATGGACACAATCATGATTTGATATCTGGTGAAAAGGATTGTACCATAAAACTAACTTTAAACATGCCACAGGACTTCTCTTGGTGATACTTGGCCAACAGGACTCTGGGTTCAACTCAAGCCTTTACCAAGGCCACTCTGGTAATGGTTGGGCCCTCCATTGCTGCACTCAGTAATTCAGGACATCAGTGTGGTCCAGGGATCAAACCTGGGGATCCTCATAGAAGACATGAACTTGAACTCCTGTGCTATCTCTCTTCCCTCTTATTTGTGTGAACACCTGCAAAATAAAAAGTCTGGAAAGGGAGAAGCAAATTCTGAAAGAGGCATATTAGCTTTGTTAATCCACAGTGTCTCAGTTATTGTGCAAGAAAGAAAAGGCTGATTTCTCAGAGCATGTCTGCGGAGGGAAGAGTGTCAGTCGCTATTGAAGATGAATGAAAAGTGTTTACTTCAGAAGTACACTTAAATACTTTGTACTTGAAATAAAGGTCAAAGTTATTTATTTGTCTTACTTCTAAATTTGCATTTGCTGCATTTGTAAGTTTTAAATGGAGTCCGACCCCCACCAGCCACCTCCACCCCAGCCTCCCCACCCCCCCAGCCCCAGTATTGCTTTTGTTTGAAAGCATGCTGGAGGTCTTAAATGTTTTGAATTCCTAAGGTACTGATAGAGATTTTAAACTGCCTTGTCATTGCTCAGCTGAAGTTGCTTTGACAAGTAAAGGTAGAAAGTGAATAAAAATTAACTTTCCATGAGCTTTCCTCTTTCAAACAACATGCACCACACCTAGATGAAGCCAAGTTGCCTCTTCACTATCCTACTACTGATTAATCAGCTTGCTCATTAACCATAGAAAAGTACAGTTAAACCCCAGGATTATTTGCATTGTCTTCAGACGGTGTGAGGCAAAATGTGTTTGAAGGCAGATGTAGAGATCAGAGCTGGGAAAAGAGGTTGGAAAGAGTAACCCCACCCCAGTTCCTACTGGGCCTTAATCATGACTAGCGTGTAGACCACATTATTCACCCCTGGATAATCCAGCATGGACTACTTATTTTATTATTCCTTAAATAGATTCCCTGTTCTTGAAAACCCAATTTTTTATCTTGTTATCAAGAATCACCTGTAGATATAATTCTAAGAAGGTATATGTAAAAACAAAGAAGCAAGTTTTAACTAGACAAAACACTGTAGTAGTAGTACTTTTATTATTACTGAAACAGAGGCTTTCAGTACAGATTGCCCACGAGGATCACCTAGAGAGTGTTTGTTTTGTTTTGTTTTGTTTTGTTTAACTTTTTGGGTCATACCCGGCGATGCACAGGAGTTACTCCTGGCTCTGCTCTCAGGAATTACTCTTGGCAGTGCTCAGGGGACCATATAGGATGCTGGGAATCGAATCCGGCTCAGCCACATGCAAGGCAAATGCCCTACCCGCTGTGCTGTCGCTCCAGCCCCCACCTAGAGAGCTTTTTAAAAAGAAGATTATTTAATTCTGGATTCAGTGGGATTGAGTGGAACCAGGATTGGGAATTTTTCAATACATCCTGGGTTGAAAAGCCATGAATTCCTAGTCAGAGTTCTTATTGGGGAAGTCTAAGAATCACCAGGGGTTCTTTGCAAACAGGGTGTCTGTGGAAACAGAATCTTCTGTTTAGATTCTTGTGCGGGTACACAGGTGGTTCTGGGGTGCCTTTAGTTAGGAACCAGTGACTCAAAGCCTCTGATGAGGTTTTTGTATGTCACTCAGGCAACGTAAATGGTTGGATTCATTTGTGAGTTGGCTCAATATAGACTGCTTTGTACTTGCAGTTCAGGATGTCTTAGAGTAACATATGTATGTGCTTGAGATACTCTAATCTAAATTAAATGTGGGAACATAAGAAAGGAGAGAGCCTAAACAGAAGCCTGCTTTTCCAGGATGAGTACAATAGATTGGTTCTTTCCTTTTCTCTGACATAATTACTGGATACAGCTGACTGGCATGGCTGTGCCTTGATGGCTTGGCTCCAGATTGGCCAGCCCTGTCTTCTACATGGTGGACCACTCATCAAATGCCAGAGGCATCTGGAGATAGGGTGTGCATGCTCAGCGTGCTGCCAGAAACAGCACCTGCCTGTGTCCATCGCAGTTCTTGGGTTTTGCCAGCTCCATTTTACAGCAACCTGTGAGATCATTTCTCACCTCAGTTTCAAACAACCGAGGACCTGAAGCACAGGTAGCATCCAGAGGTGTGGGGAGGGGAGGTGAGAAAGAATCCAGCTGGTGAGTGGCAAAGTCACTGACCAGCTTACTTCAGGTTCTGTCCTGCTTTTTATTTCACTTTTGGACCACACTTGGTGGTGCTCAGGGATCACCCCTGGTAGGCTCAGGGTACCGTATGGTCAGTCATGTGCCCTACCCAGTGGACTAGCACTCCAGCCCCATCTTTAGCTTTATTCATGGCACATCCACTTGCTCAGGGTGAAAAAGATGCTGGCAAAGACCAAACAGCCTCCAGGATTTTGAACTTGGTTGTGGACTGGACATGGATGTCGTACTATCACTTTTCCCCCTTTTGTATCATAAAAGATATTCGTTGTACATTTTTATTTTTCCTAGTGCTGGAGCGATAGCACAGCGGTAGGGCATTTGCCTTGCATGCAGCTGGCATGGCTGACCCAGGTTCGATATTTCCGCCCCTCTCGGAGAGCCCAGCAAGCTGCCGAGAGTATCTCGCCCGCACGGCAGAGGCTGGCAAGCTCCCCGTGACATATTCGATATGCCAAACACAGTAACAACAAAGTCTCCAATGGAGACGTTACTGGGCCCGCTTGAGCAAATCGACGAACAACGGGAGGACCTTTACCTTTTTTTACCTTTTATTTTTCCGAGTGCTTATTTGTAATTCTTACAATTCTTCAATTGCTTTAAAAGGAAGTGGTAGCTTACATTCAGCAATGAGTAATGAAAATTATGAGGGCTAGAAAGTGTGATGTGCATTCATTATTAAAGTAATGGAAATATTTGACCTTTAGATAAATAGGAGGTGTAGAGAGCATATTGTGGTCTTCATATATTTAGCAGGGTAATTTGAATGACTTTAGCAATGGTTGTAAGGTATGGTAGGATGTTGACTGTATGCTGAAGAACTTCATTCAGCCTGACTTCTGGTAGAATTATTTATAGATAGAACAGAGATCATTCAAAGACATTAGTTGCCCTTTTTTTAGAGGTGGGTAGTTTGGAACACACCACACCCAGCACTGCTCAGGGCCTACTACTGGCTCTATGCTCCATATTCATAGGTTACTCCTGGCAATGCTCAGGGAACATGAGTACTAGAAATAGAACCAGGACCTCCTATAAACAGAGTATGCACTTAGCCATTGAGCTATTTCTTTGGCCCCACGTCGGTTGGTTTTTGCTGGTCTAACCTTCCTTAGAAGGTTAGACCAGATGTGACAAGGTATGATGATTTGAGCTCTATTCCCATTTATGCTCCCACTTATCTGGTCATTTGTAATTTTAAAAGGGCCTGAGGTATATACCATTTCCCTCCAAAAGTGGGCCTACTCCTGGCCATCTAGAGCACTTCCTTTCCTGAGGTAATATTTAGTGAGATTTCAGTTTAAGATTTGGTCTTGCCTTTTGGGGTCACTATGCTGTACAGAGTTATAGCCAATAGACGTAAAGCATGAACACAAGGCGTTTGAACCTTGATAGGCTTTGGCCTTGTCTGACACTTAACTATCTGGACATCCCTGCTTTATGAACCAGTAAATTAATTTAGTCTCTCCCTATGCATGGAGAAGGAGGTTCCTTAAGCCAGTTTAATTTGAATTTCTGTCCTCATCAATATACCTGTTGTTATTGGTGGTCAACCCTGGCATGAACTTCCACATACCAACATAGAAAATCTTGAAGCACGTTGACGTGTCATTTAATCTTAAGATATATTATACTTTCTCCCTAGAAATAAATAGTAACTAAAGAAAAAAAGGGAATGGTTTAAGAGAATAAATTAAAAATTTGGTGCTTCCAACCCCCACTGCCCAAATAGTAGAGAAAAGATGTTCTTTGCCAGTTGATCACTAAAGAATAAGCATTTATCTCCCTTTCTGGCCTGGCTCTCTGGGTAGTGCAGCACTCACCAGCCCTGGCTCTATGAGAGGGTTTCCTTTTGTATAGTGCTTCTTTGGAACAG